TTTAATTAAATAATTTTCATGTTATTCGAAGGTATCGAAGGAGTCACCGGCGGTAATCAGTGTAAGTCGCGCCCAGGTCAAACCTCATACTTATGATTTCCATTTGAAGAGCGCATTGGATTGTGGAACAATCAATGTTTATCAACACAAATGTGGCACATGCGCAGCGCGACGACTAACCGCTCTTAAATTTTTCTGAAAAATCTCGCAAGAAGGCTGAACATTCTGATACGTGTTATAAAAAAATAACTAGCATAACTAGCATAACATTTATTCTAGAATCATGGAAGACTCTCCATCATCACACTACATCTTAATCATAAGTTTTCATTGGCTCGAGGCTCCTGTTGGCAACGCGCATACAGCCCCGAGTCTCTGTGTTTTTTTTCCCGAATCACCGGCTTATTTGCGCTAAACAGACTGTAGAATTTATTCAAACTGTTTCAGACGTCCAAAGGACTATATTTCGAATAGTACAATTAGTATTGGAGCAGAACGTTTGATTTTCTAAACATATAATTTTTCTGGTAGCAGCGAGTTATGTAGAGAAAAACTGTATATAGATTTGGAATTTTAAAAACAATCATAACTATTTTATGTAAAATATGTTATGACTTTATTAGTATTTTTATCAACTTTTAATAACACTTCTTTTTCTTAAAACACTTCTTTTCTCTGTTTAATGTCGCGTGCGTAGTTACAGATAATCACTAGACAAATATAACGTTAAAGGGCGGCAGTCGTCGCGCCGCGTCCTGTTCGATATGGGACTCATAGGGACGTATACAACGCGTGTAAAATACATTGTTTATTTACTTGAAATTCGAACACGCGCTGCGCGACGACCACCGCGCTTTAAATTAAGGTTTTTTGTCAAGATGCACACCAACCTCAAAAGCCACATGAATATGTTTATTTGAGAGGTATACATACATAATGCAGACCGGGAATTTGGTGATGAAACGACATTTTATTTGAAGGCGTGATAGTGCATTGTTGCATTACCACAATTATGTCTGTGCATTGATATGACTGAAGACATCATGATCGTCGGGTGCGGTGGCAATGGTCTGATCGGCTCCTTGGTCAGGGTGGTCATCCCACATTCAATAGCAATATATATGAAACTAAACAAGCGAATACAAGTAAATAGAAATGAACCGAGGACAGACACGAAACCGTGTTCAAAAACACCTTCCTCGCAAAACCATCAGTGGGAGAACGCAGCGGCGATTTTGTTGATTGTATAGCATTCCAAATATATAATTTGAGAACATCGACATCTGTAAGATGCGAGAAATTACGAGAATTCTCTGAGGGGAGAATCCCCCACGGCTGGTTTTCATTGATATTCCGTGCGAGGTGTTCTCTAATCGATCCAGCGTGTTGCCCAAGAACGACTGGAAATATGGTCCCCTGTAACGTGGATCCGGTTTCACCTGAACAAAACAAACAAAAGAATCCATTAATTGCACCGTGGAGCACCATCACGTGTCAATATCACCATTAGCAGTGTATAAATTAAATGTTTTTGAAAGACATTACAGTAGAAGAAACTACCCTGAACAAAGCATTGTACGCCAGACTACAAGTTAATTTGCACTTCTTACCTAATTGTTTCCTTATTTTGATCGTTATGTCCCCCAGTGAGTCAATGATTGTGTTAAAACAATCACTGCAATGACAATTAATAATAACACTGTCAAACACGTGTCTAAATCTTGGGTTCGTAGTTTTCTCAATCAGTCGAAGCAAATCATCTGCTATTGTACGCTCAATGTCCAGACGTTCACAGACTTGAATCGGATACTCCGGGCACACTTGAAACAGAGTAATTGTAGCCTCGTTCGCACGCACTCCGGGTTTCATATCATAATCAAAACTAGTAAACATATTGATATCTGCACAAACATGGTCCGCATCAAGTTCACATTTCTTAAGTAAGGGGTTATCCTCGATATACCGAGTCACGTCAGAATCACCAGTGCACCCGAGAACCAACACATTTCGAACACCATCTAATGACGACACAAATGGTACACGATCCAGGTAGTTCAATATTGCCGTCTTTTGACTGTCGTTAAAAGTTTCCCAGACAGTAAAAACACGTCCCTTCGCAGCCAAGCATAGTGTATTCTCGTCGCTGTACTCCCACGTCGTAAGCCAGTCTTTCGACACCAGTTCAGCAAGATTTCTTGACTCTTCATCACCGTAAATCACAATCAGAAAGGAACCTTCGTGAAACGAGGACAAAAATCAAGTTAGTCCACTGATCGTGCATGCTTAAATCAAGTGACTGTTTCAATTCCACAATTACAACGAAATGAACGATTCATTCAATATAAAGATGAAATTTATTTTTCTAGGAATCTGTATTGTAATTAAATAGAATTACTGATATACAGGCACGGCTTTCAATATTGCTAGAACATGAACAATTTTGATGAAAATATTTGTTTAAATTGAATTAATTATTATGATTATTATCATTGAAATCGATTCAAAATGTTTGCATTTTTCAGAACAAATTTCATAAAAGCAACAAATAGAATCAAAATAAAATGTATCTCAAGTTCATTTAAATCGTCGATTCTTTTTTTAAAAATAGCCATAACCGCTAAACGTTTTTCTATTGCTACTTTAAACACTGGTGGCGCAATTCACTTCTAATCTGTAGGACCAATATATAATAGATGGAATACGGTTCTAGTAACCGTGGATGGAAGCGACGTTTTCATAACATAAACGTCACATTGTACATTTAAGTTACGTTAACAGCAGAAATTTCGCCGTAGTATACGGTTCAGTTAGAAGCGTGGCAAACTGTACTACTGTAACATGTGTTGCGTACCTTTGGGCCGTGTGACCTTAGCCATTAGCATGCTCAGTTCATCCCAGTGATCAACGTTGTGATCCCTCTGTGAAGGTGTTATCAATGCCCGGGTCTGCCTGGCGTCGATGACGATCACCGCAGTCACGACGGTACCACCGTCGGTACCTGTACTGATATCGGCATAATCACCGCTTTGATAGTGTTCCACTGAAATCCCATGCGTTATTTGCTCTAACTGTAGACGTATTTTATCGGCGGCCAGCTGAAACGAGTGTAACTTAGTAAATACGTACAGTCTGTGTAGTGACCCCATGGCATTACACCTGTATATCGATTAACCGCCAACCACCCAACGACTTATACACGCGAGCAAATGCGGAAGCAATTTCAACTACATGCACCACAATATGGCCGACTCTAAAGGAAGTGGTCAATATATATTGTTGGGAGGGGGGGGGTCAATGTTCATTCGCGGTCATCGCATTAGAACCAAGAATAATCAATTATTAATATTCATAACACAGTTTCCACACTTGTTAGTGTCCTGGCCTGGTTCTCACAAATAAGAATACACCATTTTTGTCTCTTGTCCCTTATAAGAATATAATTTTAAAACAATTTGTTGAATGAACACGTTTAACCGACCGATTTAAGGCGTGAAAAATTGTGGCCACGAAATGTTAAACACGCTCAGTTCGCGTTTGCGTTCGTCGATAAAGGCACAGTGACTCACGCTGATCGCCAGGAACGTGGAAAGTTCCAAAGACCCAGCGGGGATAAAGGCGGTGTTCTGTGTTATGTAATATGCAAGACAGACATCAGTATAAAACACACACAAGCTACTTATTTACAATATTCAATTTACGGGAGACATCTTAAGGATTCAACGGGCGCGTATGGTGTTTAAAGCTATTGATGATCTTGCTTATCCTCGACCAGTTATTGGTCACGGACTTGAGAACATCGAACACAACTGTGGTGCTTTAATTAAAACAAGTCATTGTTAATGACACTGTCCCCGTCCAAAATTTTGTGATCTGACATATCAATTTGATGCTGATGAAGTCATTGAGATTAGATTGAAACCATTAATATGAGACGGATTTGTACTTTTACGCGAGAATTGGACATTTGGCAGTCATATTGAATCAAATTACACAAATAATGTTCATGTTGATATATCTAGTGGTATACTGTCTTTGTACAAAATTTAAAGAGAAATGTTCATTGCATTCATGGGAAATTAGGCATGGGTATCATGAAAAACAAAATGGCCACCAGTCTGCCATATTAGTTTGAATCACAGAAAAAAATATGACATGCAACTATAACCCAATATGTATAATCATCATACCAACTTTGATCCAAATTGGCCTAGTCATCTCTGAGAAACAGCTCCGGACATGTAAAAAATGACGACTTAACGCTTTTACAGGGAATTTGGGCGTCGGTCAGCCATATTGAATCGAATCACAAAAATAATGTTGTTACAAATGTATCCCTTGGTATACTAACTTTGTACAAAATTTAAGGAGAAACGTTCATTGCATTCAAGAGAAAGTAGCATGAGTATCATGAAAAACAAAATGGCCGCCAGTCTGCCATATTTGTTCGAATCACGGAAAAAATATGACATGCACTTTTAATCCAATATGTATGATCATTATATCAAGTTTGATCCAAATCGGCATAGTCATCTCTGAGAAACAGCTCCGGACATGTAAAAATGATGATTTAGCGCTTTTATATGAAAATTGGGCGTCGGCCAGCCATAATGAATTAAATCACAAAAAT